AGGAGGCCAACATGGGACATAGGTGTACCTATAGAACCTTAAAGAAAAAAATATTAGAAACAAACAAACAACGTTTCAAAAACAAATACGTAAAACAAGTAACTAAAACAAATAACCCTTAGTGATCAGATGTCTGACAGTAATCTTTCTTTAGCTCTTTGGAGTTGCGTTCCATAGATGTGCCAGAAACCTATGAATGACCTGGCTATGTTTCTAGGTCTGTCAGCGCCATACCCGTGCTGGTTGCTTTCACCAAAGCATCATCACATTGGGTTTTCATGCTGATATGAGGGGATGTAACTGAAAAAGTATATGTCAAAATCGACGTTAAACAAAAAACCACCCTCTCACCTACCAAAAAGAAACCTCGTTTGTATCTCTCTGCGCATCGCTTTGGCTTAGAACCGAGCCGAGTACTTGACAGAACCGGATGTAGACGACAAAACGTCCTTTCCGGCACACTGCAGTACAGTATTGATGTGTTACGTACTGGAGTTGAAGACTCTCTTAGAGTTAAAATCCAATCGTGAAACGGGGCTATGTACTTTAGCGGCAATAACTGTAGCCGAACCTTATCTGAATAACGACTTCAGGGTCATATCGCCAGCACTTGTAAGCCGAATCGTAATATTTTATTAGTGTCATATTAGAACAATTCTCATTACGTGCTTCCATTAAGTCCATCTCGCTCTGTGTATAAATACACGGATATCCGTGGGAAGACCCATTGTAAAACAACCACGTTTTCAAATTGCAAGCCTCGTAAAAACAGAATAGCGAAGGGTTACCATGAAATATTCACAGAATTTCCCGACATATGGAAGCTACAACATTGGAATAAAAGAAACGTACTACGATTTAGGTCATTATGAAACTTGTAAAAAAAGAGTACGTAAATTGATATTTTGTTAAAGGACGGACATAGAGTTTGAGTTGAGTCTGGTTCAAACTAGTTGCAGAGCTGCCCCGTGAAGATCCGGGATAGAGTTGTAAGCGAAGGTCTGTTTCTCATATTTGACACTCCCATTGTACCAGCTTTACAAACTAAGTTCACCTATTTAGATTGATAGATTATGTGATGAGAAAGAATAATTTTTTGGTGTGCTCAATTTTTTTCACTGCGGTCACCCTAAAATCCAAGATGGCCACCAAAATGGCCGCCACTTTTCTACCTAACCTATTAACTTCACTATATATCCTATTTGTTTATCAAATATTAATCATAAATCACTACTGACCATCAACAGCTGATGTGTAAAATATATATTTTTTGTTTGGGCACCAAATTTAACATTTTAGAACGGAATTACTAGTTCAAAATGGATGCCAAGTTCAAATTAATGATATTCTTTAATCAAAAACGGGGTATTTTTTGTTTGGATATACCAATCAGAACTTCAATTTGGAATAGGATTATACAAATTAACGACTTTTGGCTCAGTAAATATTCATTAAAGGTATATATGTTATGGTACATAACTCTTGTCGTGCTGCTTTCATCAGTAACACAAATATCAGATCTTCAATGTCTCAAAAAAATCAGAAGGAACAATTCATGAAAAGGCTTTTATGAAAGTTGCCCAAGAGGTTCAGCTTCGAATTATAGACGGGAAAGAAGTTCTTCTGATGAAAGATCTGACCAGCTTTATGAACAATACACTAGTCACTCTGAATGTTAACGCATCATACCAATCTGCAAAACTCAAGTCACGTTTATTGCAAACATTTGGTGACAAAATTGTCTTTTGGCACCCCAAATGGCGTGGTAAATCTGAACTGATTTACTCAAATAAGATACAAAGTGGTCAGTTCTTGCACAAATCTATTCAGTTAGATGAGGAATTGCTTGAAACTAGTCACGAAACTAAATTTGATGACAGAGCATCCAGTCAAAGTTCCAAAGAACTACGCTCTGCCTTCACTACTTGCCTTCAAATTCACAATGATATCCAAACTGTACCACAACTTCCATGGCCGCCACGTCCAGAAGACATGACTGAAGACAACATCAAGTTTCCAAATAGTTTGTATAATGCTCTTGCGTGGATACTAGGCGGTGATCAGTTCAATGAAAACTATATCCACGAAGCGGAACATACAACCCAGTCATCAAGTTTTAAAAAAAACAGGTCTCAGGGAAAAGTTGGTTCTGTTGATGCCTCCTGTGACCTACCAGAACTTCACAGAAAAATCCTTTCCACTGGTCAGGATATTGTCCATGCAGCAACCAACAGTCGTGTGCTCACAGTAAAGCATGTGCTACTTGCAAAAGCAATTCAACAAAAAACAGGAAGCTTGTCGTTGGTGACTGTTGAACAAACATCAGCACTGCATAAATAGATCACTTCTTCAAGAGATGGATACTGCAAATGCAGAGATTCTGACATCTCAGAACGATCTTTCCTACCATATGCCGCAGGGAATGGCTCCAAATGTACCTTCTTTGTTTGGTTGGGACAACTATGACTACAAAAACAGGTCATATCTCAGGATCATTACAGGTCCATGATACAACTGGATACATGGCTCAAGCAAGATTACCTGGACATGATGCTAATCGAGAACCTCCTACAGGTCAATCAGAGAGTTAACCCCGAACTGGACGCAAATCCATATCTGT